ATATATATAAGAACTCAAGATACAATTTTTATAACAATGAGAGAATTTGACATCATCATTGATCATCCGTTCCGTTGAAAACAGGGGTATCATGAACTATCGTGATTTCTACTGTCTAACAGTGTTATCGTACGTTAATCAATCCCCAACCCGAGACTTCACACAAATCATCCAACCCTTTCTTTTGTTATGCATTTGCTTGTTATCTTTCAGCTATCCAATTCGACCAGTCGATCCAGTTCACAACAGCAACAAACAAAAAGCTGACTATTATCAATATATATAACACGCGGAAATCAGATTAAAATATGCAAAAGTAAATGGATGAAAAGGCAGCACGAATAGTGTAAGTGTCCGGTGAAATTTTGAAAAAACTCTTGCGATGGGCTGAGTGAACAGCCGAACGCAAAACCATCAAGAGCAGACATTCCTTTTCTAATAAATCACGCTATTTGACAAAGCATCTACCCACATCGTTAAGCGTTATTTTAGATTAAAACCTATATAATGAGCCTCTTATTGGAGAACAAAAGATCGGGGCTACGACATTAAATAGATCAAGCTTCGAAATTGTAGAACTCAAAAGGAAACTAAAAAAACTACGAACATAAAAGCTTCGAAATGAAACCAGAAAACTGGGAAACAAGAAAGTACAACATATACGAATGCACTAAAACTTAAGAACATTTAACCTGAAGGTTCGCGAATATCCCTAAAATAGGAAAAAAACCTGGAGGCCGTTACTCAGTTGCCAAAAGCGAGTAAAGCCATGCAAGTACATGCATGCTTTCGAAATAAATCCGTATAGGAAAAATACTCAGTGCGGTATTTTCTCAATAAGTCAGATTTTCAGAAGGGTTGGGAAGTGGAAGTGAATTTAAAATATAAATGGATAGCTCGAGAAATTCTTTGGTTCCTATTTATTTGAAGAGTAATTAGCACATTACTCTATTTGAAATAACTCGTACGGTGGCTGTTACCCAACTAAACAACAAAAACTGTAATAAGTGAAGAGAAAACTAGTCAGTTACGCAACATGGAACGGCATCCTTGAATATAGCATATTTTCCACAATCGTTTATGTGATCGAAATTGCTTCACAGTCGACACAGGTGTTGTGTGCAAAGGCGGGTTGTATTAACCAACAAAACGTCATTTCGTCCCTGGTTAAGGTCAAAAACACTTCTCATGTATGGGTGCCACTAGGAATTATCAACAGCAAACATTCACAATGATCGAGAGCAAGTAAACTAGGGATTCAAGATTATAGTATCCAAGTTAGGACTCGAAAATAATCAGGTCGAGACCGCAATTTGACTACAGTATCAATTGTTTAGCGTGACAGAATTTCTTGTAATCAGTATCCTAATATTTTATTTTTGAGGTATTGTTTCACATAAATGAAGGATGACTCAAGGGAATAGGAGATCCTTTCTCGTTGTGATTTACAAGGTTTCGCCTCTTACTAAACATTTTTGTTGATATTTAAGTAGACTTGCTATTTATGCTTGAGCTTATTGTCGCGTGGGCCTTTTTCAAGAGCTTCGTATTTTTTATTCGAATCAAACATACTGGATGAGTTCATGCTTTACCTGTTATTAACTAAAGTTGACCATTGAAACTGCAAGTCTACAACAACTGCAACGGTCAATAGACAAAGGAGAAACGCATCAATAAAATGCAGGCAGAGTGATTGGTCATAGAAGAGCTAGCCTGTATGACAACAAAATAACCTAATTAACCTCAATCGTAAACGCAGGATCTAACGACAAATCTAGTCACAAACGGTCTGTCCCATGTGAAAATGCCACTGCAGTGGCGACTTTAGGTCTGCACTATCACGTTATAAACTAAAGCGGGACATCTGAAAGCACAAAAAGATAGTGGCACCCTCTTGGGTTGCTGTGGAGCAAAGCGAAATCACATGTTTTCCTCTTTCTCTGATTATCTGATGCAACAAAGTCAGGATTATCTTTTGCGTAGAAATATTTGTCACGACCAGTGAGAACATTTCCAGTTCCATTTCACCAATGTTATTTATTTCATACGGAAAGTAAACAAAATGCATGCTACTTGAGTTACAGAACTAAGTGCTGCACGCAAAACAAAAATAAATGTTGTCTAAAAGGAAGACGAAAACTGCGAGCACCTTACCAATAGCAGGCAACAAAGAAAATAAGGTTCTAAGAACTCAAGTTGTTAATTTATTTACATGGCATTATGTGGTAATACGCAGATTGTATGCCCTACTTATTGCGGTAGGTTACCCCACTAAAATAGCTAAGTGAAACTATCCCAATACGTACGGATTCATTCAAACGTACCGTGGATTGGAGTGCGATACACCTGAATTCCATCTTCGGCGTACATCGATAGAATCACGTTGAGCCCAAACATCGTTATATGATTCGGCATGTTGTGGCTCGTCTCGAGTCCCAGAAATCCGACTGGGCACACGTCTCGTTCTTTGGGGCAATGAACGGGAAATGGCTAACAGCTCCAGCTTGTTGGTCATTGGCCAGCTAAAGAAGATTTCATGAAGCTGACCCAAAGCACCTCGCAGCTGGACCATCAAACGGGATTCCAGCACTAGTTCTTCAGGTGAAAGACCTTCGGGTTTCTGGTTCGCAAAATTACCCACATGTGTTGGTAAGTTTCCATCATGTGATGATAAATAAGAAGAATTTTGTCGTTCTGTGTGAATCGAAAGAGCTAATTTAGCCGTATCCTGCAATTATCCAAGGAAAGAAATAGGGTAAGACTGATTCAAATAAAACAGTAAAAGTAACTCAGCTGGTCTTGTCAAGTTTCCAGTAGATAAATGGATTATTCATAGTTAAAATGCAGAGTAAAAATCATTGTCAACTAAAAAGGACAGTAGGAAATAGGTAAAAGAAAACGAGCAAGAGGAATTTGTCATTGTAAAAAATGGGGCAAAAATATCCATTTTGACGGGATGACGATTGCAAAGGATCAAGCGCCTTATTTTTCGATTATGCCAAACTATTGCACGATGACACGTAGAAGAGAACGTTGCAGAAACAGGGAAAATTATTGACAACCGGGATCAAAGTTAAGAATCACTTAACTGTCCCTAGTTTCGGAGGGAAATTACATTTTCAACATTCTGCCTAAGGAAAGCATTTTCCTATCGCTCACTAAAATAGAGAAATACTAATAGGAACAAGTGTGAAAGGAGTAACTCAGCAATATCATCGTAAAGCGAGATACAGTGACGTGAACTTCGCTGTCGCTGCAAAGCTCTCAATGTTCACACATGAGAAAGTAAAAGATGGATGGGATTTGGGCCTAACTGGAAAGAGGCAAAGAGAGTGAACCTCTACGGTCAACACACAGAGTGCACAACCTAATTACGCACACATACATTTTCAATCGTTCTGACCTGATAAGAAATGACAACAAGAATGCCACTGATGTCAGTTAGTTAACATATCCTTTGGTGTCTTAAACCAACCAGTTGCGGAGTCTTTCGGATTCCAACCTGGAAGACAGGAAACACTTCTCTACCTGATCGTTCTGTGCATTTCCTCATGACTTTTTCCACCGCATCTGTTCACCTTCACATGGTTTTTTTCAACCTGGAGCCGTAACAACGAGTAAGACGCGATGAGGTAGACGACAGTTAGGTATGTGCAATACGTGCCCTATAGCTATCGAAGTCTACTAATCTGAATTCTATGTAATAACGAATTTTCCTCTGAATCATTACCAAATACGCAACGACTTAGCTCAGAGTTGCTTACAGGCTCGCTATATCCGACCCGCGCCAAACTACGTAAACATCGCAAATTTAGGGTTTCGCAGCCGTTAAGCAGAACTGAACGCACACTGGCGCAGTATTCGCGACCTTTCCGTTTCAAGGAAATATCACGTCTGCACCAAAGGTGTTTCAGTCCTGCGTAAGATGAAGGGAAATACGGGCGGTTACTTCCTTGACTGCGCCACCGTAATTTGTCACATTATTACCTTAGTAGGAGAAGAAATCCACTATAGTTAAGTCTTGATCATCAAGCATCGGAGCCAGGGTAGACGAAATCCAATATTGTAACATCACTTTGCACTTTGAAGGTGCACATAGCATACCAAATTGAGTTACAAAAATTGAAAGTCTGTCAAAAGCGATTTACGCATCTTACATACATTCGAACAGATAGACGTTGTCGTTGGCATACTCTAAATAAAAAAGCTTTTCTCCAGCTGCTCGTCCAATAGCCCACTGTAGACCCTGACATTACTCGAAGTATGCAGGTACAGTGATCACAGTAGGTTTACATCTGCGGCATTCGTTTGCGAAGCAGTGCACCCACCACAGTGCATCCACAGTCAACTAAATCAAAGGCCCTTTCGAGTCAAGGAAAACTACAATTGTTTGTCGACGATGGTTGTGGCGTAATTCGAGGACTTTACACCGAGTGAAGGTTTGGTCGATTGAATACAGCCTCATACTTATAATAATGTTGGGAGCTCATATGCTACGGCCCATGCAATTACCAGAATAACCGCATTAGCACCGGACCAATTAAACTGTCCAATAAAATATTCCGCCCAGAGCTCCAGTCGTTGTTCTCTATCCACTTATCGGAAATGGTTTCACTGACCGGTATGTGACGATCTCCGGTGCTGCGTATCAGGTAAAACAGTCTTTGATGATCCTTGATGCAGGATCTACCTCCACTTCACTATCTATTTTGGTCCACCAGTTTTTTTAAGGCTTTTCCTGAGCTGGCATTGCGTGCGCCGGGTAAAAATAGCCGGTGATGTACGCAGAACTGCAGTTTTCGATCACCGTTGTCTGTTCTTTGGGAGGGAATCGCTCTTAGAGAGGCTTAGGATGCGTTCAGTTTTCCAACCGGCGCTTTGACATTACCTGCCAGCGCCATAACATCAGATCTACAGCTCAATCGGATGAGCTCGGCGAGTTTGTCGGAAAATTCATCTTTTTGTGAAGTGGGACTGCAGTTGGTTGGTGCATATGCCGACATAATGGACCTTGGAGCCTCATTGTGCACAAACGACTGTTGACGGGTATCCAATATACCAGTGAGGCCTCAGCTTGACCAATTAGTACGAATCCTCCACCTCGTCGACCCAAAGAGCGGGCTTCATCGTGTCCTGATGTGCAAAGGGAGTACTTTGAGGTTACACCTGGTGCACTCAGATGACTTATATTATTATGGTACTGAATTCGTGTCTCCGATACACAACCGACATGGCTTGTTGACCCAGCTCCATGAAAGTCCTCACGTTGAAAGCCCCCAGATTGAGATGTTGGCGATGCTTATTTAGTGGTAAAATACTTACAGTGCTTTTTGCAATGAACTTTGGCGAGTGGCAAGCAAGTTACCTGGTGAAATGTTATGGACAGAAGAACGGAAAAAGAGAGAAGTTTGGGTATGGAAGACAAGCAGTTAAACAAAGATTGGGATGTCTGAGCAGTAGCACACGTATCACCACACACACCGTCCGATGAAATGGGCAGCGTGGTCCTGATCCTTCTGCGCGGCGACCGATGCAGTATGGAATTAACTTTTCTTTGCGTATTCTTTAGAGCTTTATAGACCGGTACTGCCCAGGGTGTCCAGTCAGCAAACAGGAGAACGATTAAGATTCTCGTCGAAAGCCTTTGGTTCTAACAAGAACCTGATCGCAAGGTAGCGGGCATAGCGAAGTAGAGGTCCACTTACTTGGATCGATTACTTCTCTACCATTTCCCCGACTGAGATGCTAAATCACGTCGAACCCCTAATCTGGAAGACTAGGAGACAGAAATTGGTCTGACCTCTACCCTCTGACCTTTCAGACATGATAAGATCTTCTGGATTGATAAAATTCATCCAGTATAGCTAGTTCGGTCGGTCATAGAGGTGCGCATGCCATCACACCACGTCAAGGTGTAGGCTCATCGTGGTGTGAGTAACTCATGCAACAATGTAAGATTCCTTACCCAACCAGATTCAGTGACTTCCGAGCTAACATTTGCAATCAATCGAAGTTCAGAGTATCTCGTGCAACACTAAAGATGAACTGATTGCAAACGTTAACTCGGAAGTCACTGACAGGCGTAGGTAGTAATTCTCTGTATAG